GTGATGACTCTCGACGGAAACATTCTCCCCCTGAATGACACCTCGGCGTTGAATTACGCCTGTTGGCGTATGAGCGGTTAATTACTGTACACTTTGCTTGTAAGGAGATGAGTATCATGGAAAACATTAAACAGCGGAGCTGGGCGATCTCGAAACACGCTCATGGAGAAGACACCACAGAAAACCATGGTAATGAGTGGAAAATACTCCATAACAACTCAGGAACAATATTCCTGAATTCGTTGTTGACATCATGCTGGCGACCTCTTGGCTCGATGTACCCGTTCACAAGAAAATTTATGCTGGGCTACAAGCGTGCATTCACGACTGAATACCCACACTTGTAGCAGGGCTGCAGGAACTGTGGTTCTTTGCCCAAGGTGGGAATGGTCGTTAAAGTCGTGGGTCTTGACGACCGCTCTGGATCGCGATGGAAGTGTTCCATCTGGTTTCTCTGAGCTTAGGTCATCCGTCTCTGGTCTCTTACTTCCCAGGGCGTGCGGATCTTGTACATCAAGACTTTCCCATGGGCAATGTTGGAAGAGTCAGATGGAGCAAGTTCTCCAGCTTCAAAGCTCCATCCAGTCTGCAGCCGTGGTAGTGACATGTGTGGGAATTCAGTGGATGTCAATGCCTGCGCCAGCCGGGGTGGCTTGAAAGCGATGGTAGGAACCTTTCTGCCCACGGGGTTGAGAAGAGTTTTTCAGCTAGCTCCTTGCTGCGGCTTCGTTCTCTTTGGGAGATATCACGATGGGATCAAGTGTGAATGCCAGCAGCCACCGGCATGAAGCTATGGAGTGCTCCAACCCCTTGGAGCTCCGTTTTCCTTGTCTGAAAGGGGACAGAGAAGTGAGCGCCCAAGCGTCAAGGGCACATATACGGAAACTAGCCTCACTGGGTATGCTGTAGTCGCCAGTAGGAGGGGTCCTTGGCTCCTTTCTCTTGGGACATGCTCCTGGAGGTTTCCGAACGAGACGAAAAAACTCAGAAAGAATCATGTGCCTGGGTGAAAGCAGAGTGAAGAAAAAACCCGTAGAAAATGGATGGGCAGGTGACTCCGGTTATACGTAAGAGAAACTCCATGAGTGGCCCGGTGGCCTTGGAAGTGGATATTCTACCCCTGCTTCCCGTCCCCGTTTTCTCCGTTTTTGCTTCCCTTGAGTGGGAATTGTGGCTTGCGGTTCGTTTCCATTCACGATCCTAGGCCAAGTCTAGAAGCACGTTTTCCCAGCCAGGAATGACATTCGCACGCAATCGAGCAGACTGAAAAAAAAACTTCACGATGGCGGCTCCATAGTGGAAAAAAGACGATGGGTTGGGGTTGCTTGGCAGGTCAACGCGGCTAAATGACAACCTTTGTGGACAGGCAATGGATGGACTTCTTCCCGCTCGGCACCGGACCGCACCCCTTGCTCTCGGTTTAGGGATAGACCAACTGAGTCTACGGGATGCCATTCCGTTACGGGGACGGAAAGGCACTTTTGAGGATGGCTGATGGTAGTGATGGTGGGGAATCGCGCGGCTCACTGCTGAGTATCGGAATAGGAAGAAAGACGGTGACGGTGCGCTCCGTCGGTCAAGCAAACCTTTGTTACGAGTTATAGTCCAGAGCCTCAAGAGTGCTGACCGCAAGTAGTAGGAGAGGCTGAGAGACAGTGAGACGTACCCCGATCGATCGGCCGGTCGGACGGTCGGGTTAACATTGTTGACCCTTTTCCTTTGCGGCTTGGTCCGGACTGCAGATCCAGTGGTACGATCGAATGGGCATCTCAGATCGATTTTGTCTTGGAGTACAGGTGCAACACGAGGTTTCAACTGCGATGCTGTGGCGGTGATGTGTGGGTGACGGTGATGCCGTTGACTGGTTTACGAGATGTGACGAGCCTTGTTATTTACTGACTTCGTCGTCGCTCGTTGCGCCTCAGCATGAACTGCTTACGTTTGTGTTGACTACAGAGTATAGACTTCTAGGCTGCTTGCCACTTGCTGAACTCGACTTGCACCGGCGTTGAATACGTGTTCCACGCCCCAACGCCACTATGCGTGTCAGGTTGAAAACGAGCAGATGGCGCTAATGACTGATGCCATCATACAATCGCATTGCGATGGGAAAATGGGCTGGTTGGCCGAGTTCCTTGGCACATTCATGTCGTTGCCCGTTCATCGGCCACGTCTGCCTGTCGTCGTTGTGGCCCGTTTCTTCATTTCACGATATGTCGCCGGCTGGGCACCCGGGGCAGATGCCCCGTGGGCCGTGGAAACCTTCCCCAGAGAGAACCGGAGAACATCAGGTTTGCAACTTGCTTCTGCCGACAGGTGCATTGTGATGGCCTTATCGACCAAGTCACCTGCAATGTCATCTGGCACGACCAGACCTCGTGGAGAGCTCCGGTTCTTGGTATGCTGCGAAGAGGATGAGGGACCCCGCAGCGCGATTCCTGGGCAACAATAGAAAATCGTACCACATGGCATTGTGCGACTGCACCTCAAGGAGGAAGATGCGGTTTGGTTCTGCCGGTTTCCTCATGCCCTTGGCCGATGGTGTCATTTCCCAGGACTATGCTGGCGGCGGCTACAACCCAGTCGGGTCAGTGCTAAGTTTAAGGTGCCGCCCGATCTGCTCTCTGGCATCAATCTGGGAGATGCTGGCATCATCCTCCCGTCTTGCGTTACTACTGCGATGCGCTGGAAACACCTGGATGGTAGGCGGCTCCATGGGCCGTAACCGGCTCTGTTGCGAACGGTCGCACCAACATGATGCCATCCACATAGTAGCTGGTGTGCTGTAAGCCTGTAACTAGCTGTAACTGCGAACCCCTTTGTCTCCATTGCGTTTGTTTCCTCTTTCTGCTACTGCTGCTACACGTGTCTGGCTTGTGGACGCAGGAATGATTGGCTTCCCCTCCGTTGCATCATCCAGTACGACGCCGTGCCCCTGGCCTTGCGCCATTATGGACTACCGGGCACGACCTCAAGGGTTCGCAAATTGTGATGGCGGCGAGAGGGAGAATGTAAGCTGAGGCTGGTTGTTCCCTGCAGCGGTCAGGTACAGACTGTACAGTACCACAATTACAAGTACCTACAAGCTGTCTCTTGTCCAGGTTGTCTTGGCTCTTTGGTGGCTCTCTTCCCAAGTTCCGGCGATGGTGCTCCGGGATGAGATATACGTACCGAGTTTACCTGACCGCCGCGCTACAGGACCGCGATCAGGCGGTGGCAGCTCACTCCTAAACAGCGCCACTTGTTGCGGTGGACGGCCCTCAACTCGATGTTGGTTCCTGGGAATAGCATACAATTTACGGATGGCCTACGTACCTACACGTGGGCCCGCCATGACCATTACTGAGTGTCATGGCTCAGGATTGAAGAGAGTGGTTGCGAGTCCTGGAGCCAGGCGTATGGTCAGGCGGCCACCAAGGAACTTGACCCATGCCACGGCAGGCAACGCCATGCCTTGCAAAAGTTGCAACAATGAACCAGCTCGGGCCAGCATCCGTCCTTCTCAGCCAGTCGAAGGGAGCTGGTGGGTTCAGTCACTGGTTGGCGTTGGTCATGTTCAAGAAGTGTCAGTTGGCGCAATGTACAGCTGCGCTTGGAACAAACTGGATCAGGTACTTCACGCAATGGACCCATCCGGTGGAGATGGTCCAGGCTCTTTTTTTCACAATTTTTTTTTTCTTTCTTCCCATCCTTGGTTGATTCACACACCTCTGTGATGGATCCACGTCCACTTCCAGTAACAGTACTGCGTCTCTGTCAGTCACAGTTCCCATGTGGGTGTCTGATGAAGAGCTGATGTACACGATGCCGCGCTGGCTGGGCCGTGTCAAAACGCTGGAGCGGAGCATGTGTCGCCAGGTACCCTTCCAACTCATGACACATAATTACCCTATGAAAAGCTTGACCATCACGAGCTGGCAAGACATAATAACGCGACGGTCCTGCTTCACGTCTTGCGTAATAAGAGGTTGATATTACAAGAGTCTACTACCGCCGTGACCTACTTTTCTCCTGATCTTCCCTCGTTGACAACTCCAACTTGACAATAACCTCACGATACCTTTCGTTCGAGAAGCCGAAAAGAACTCTTGTCTTTCTGGAGAACCCCGGCCACTTTTGCCTCCTCCGCACTCTGCATCTCATCTCACCCGAAAAGCCCGCCGTTAAGCGCAACGCTGCAGCTGCATCCATCCCACATTAGCACACTTTTCCTGCGTCCTACCTCCTACCCCGGTCGACGAACGACTTACACGAAGGAACGGGAAAACCAAAAGGGGAAATTCACAAGAGAAGGAGTCATCGCAGTCGCAAAAAGTCTGCGTTTGTTCATTTCCCATACCCCTCCACTCTACGATCTCGACTTCGATCAACCCGAGATTCCAAAACGCTTGGTTTTTCTCTTTAAAGCCAACTTCGCCTCTTCCACGCCTGTTGCGAACGAGCGAACGAAAAGGGACGACATCATCTGCCCTCCCACACCACGCACCGTACTATCATCCATCGCTTTGATCGCTTTTATCCCATCTTTCTTCCTCACAGCGCGCATAGCGGAAGTAGATCCCGTCCACCACCACCGCAACCCAGCCCAAACAAGCTTCGTTCTTGGCTGTTCGACGCCATAGAGAAAGAAAAACCAAAACGGGCAAAGGACAGAACGAGAATCAGACCTTGTGCTCCTACCACCCACATCACCTGGACCTTTCTTGCAAGGATTCGAGAATAGCAAGAGAAAACAAGTCATCGCGCTCCACACACTATTCTCTTCTCTCACTTTCCCAAGTCTCTGTTCAAGTACAAAGAGAAAACGGCCCCCGGACACATCTTGGTCTGCCCATCAGACCCATACCACACATCACTCATCAGTCAGTCAGGGAACATCAGCAGACCTGCCGCATTCCGTCCATCAGCTCATCAACGCACTTACACTACACACCGCCGCTCGCCCTCGGCCTCGAGCCTTACACCCTTACCACCACACGCCCACCCAAAAGAACTTGCGCGCGCCCGCATCAACCTCGCCTATCCTTCGGGATCCGGCGAATCGACTCTTTTTGTCCTTTTGGGCATTCCAAAATTTTCTCACGGAACCCATTATCCTCTAGGACGAACCTACGCCCTAAGAACGTCACACCACCTCCCTTATTTTGCGGTTCATCCGCCCCCCCTCACCCCCTTTAACCCCTGTCCATCTTGTTGGCCCATCTTAGCCAGCCAAGATTTACAAAAGAAAACTTGAGGGCCGCAACCGAACATTCCAAGATTCAGCAAGCCCTCAAAATCCGGGGAACGCACCACACAACCGCACCCAATCATGCCCCACCGCGTAGCAAACTTCCTGCGGAATTCCACTGAGAACTTCAGTGTTTCTGCCATTGCAAACCTCAAGACTAAGACCAAGCAACACCAGCAACATAACCAACCCCGTCACAACAACGTCCAGGACGAAGGCTTGTTGCGCAGAGTCCCTCTTGACCGCCACTCTTCCTACTCCTCCGATGACGGCGAGCACATCCCTTACCACAACATGTTCGCAGCAGATCCCGCAGACCACCTCAAGGAGAAGAAGCACCACCACCACCGCCTCTCTCTGCCTTTTGGCCGCTCCAACAAGGATTCACACGACAATTCACACGCAGGCCTCGACCTGAAGATCGAGAGCCCGCCCATCGTTTTCTTTGGCGATGCAGAGTCCTCTACCGGCGCCCTCGTCTCGGGCCAGATGCAACTCGAGGTCAAGGATGAGCAGCTCCAGATCGAGACCTTTGGCGCCAAGCTCAACATCCACGTTCAGCAGAAGCGCCCCTTCACCAACCACTGCGGCGAGTGCACCAACCAGTACACGGAGCTGAAGCGCTGGACGTTCCTCACGCACCCCACGACGCTCAAGAAGGGCATTCACCAGTTCCCCTTCTCTATCCTCCTTGAGGGCCACCTCCCCGCGTCCATGGACACGCCCATCACCTCCATCGCCTACGAGTTCAAGGCCGAGGCCATCCTCGTCAAGGGCACGCCCGGCTCGCAGACGCCCATCAAGTTCGAGCAAAACTTTGATGTCAAGCGCTCCCTCCCTCAACCCGAGTTCCCGCACCACTCGGTCCGCGTCTTTCCCCCCACCAACATCAAGGCCAGCGCCCACTACAACCAGGTGATCCACCCGGCCGGCACCCACAACGTCTCATTCCGCCTCGACGGCCTCACCAGCGCCAACGCTACCAACAAGACGGTCGAGTTCTGGAAGCTCAAGAAGGTTACGTGGAAGCTCGAGGAGACCATCAAGACCGTGGCCCCCGCCTGCGAGAAGCACGCTCCGGTCCCTGGCAATGCCAACAACAACACCCAGCCTCAGCAGAAGGGCGTCGCCCGCACCGAGACCCGCGTCTTGGGCGAGAAGTACATGCACGACGGTTGGAAGTCGGACTACACCAGCACCGACGGCCACGTCGAGTTCGAGTTTGACTACGGCGTCGTCGCCAGCAAGCACAGCCACGGCCCGCGATACGCCTGCGACATGAAGTCGAGCGACGGCACCGAAGTCTCCCACGCACTCATGATCGAGATGGTCGTCTCCAAGGAGTGGGCGCCCGTCGGCAAGCCCCACCTCGCGACGCAGACGGGCACCGGACGCATCTTGAGGATGCACTACCACGTGATGCTCACCGAGTGCCCCGGTCTCGGCGTCAGCTGGGACAACGAGGCGCCGCCCGTTTACCAAGACGTCCCCCCCTCGCCGCCCGCGTACCCCGACGAAGCGGCTCCCGTCGACTACATGAGCCTTGAGCACCTTGACGGCCAAGCGCACAACGGACTGGCGCATAGCCGGGAGGGATCCGTTACCGGCGGATCCACTACGTCATGACACCACCACCACCACCACTAGAGGAGGAGAGTCATGAAAAAATACTTAATCAACACAACCAAAAAAAAAACTCACATACAATAATTCTCGAGACGAAATGAAAAGGAAAACAAAAAGTTATTGGATTTAGGATTTGCTCTTTTTCAACCGCATTATACCCCCTGGTTTCCGAACCGGGCGCTTGTTTTCTTATAGGATTATAACTTTTTTGGCGGGAAAGACAGTGTTACAACTCAGTTGGATTTTTTGCAATGGATTTTTGAAGAGATGCATGGTATTGAGTGAAATGACCATGAGAAAGTGTTTTGCATTGCGAGGCGTTTTACGGGGACTTTGAACAGAGCTGATGGAAGAAGCGCATCATCGATGATGCCATGGTTCCCATCACATGGCTTCTCAGTAGCTAGCTCGATGTCGGAACATACAATTGAAACAATAATTAATTCTACAAATCACTATAAGATTACTTTGCAGTTCCTCTCGATCTTACAATGTGACTTTTTGGGACTGACTTTACGAATGACTTAGTTGAACTTCATACTTTGAGTGCGCTTCAACGGCAAATTGTGCGGCAGTATTATTACTCAGTGGACATAGAGACAACCTCAAACAAAATTTGCCCCTCGTCAACGAAACCACAGACTATGCGACCCACGATGCGTGGGATGGTGACATGTGAAATGCCTTTCGAGTCACGACCCTTGATAATTATAGCCTATTGGCAGGGACTTGTCCGATGTGTACACTACCTTGCGGCTCATCCCACGTTTTCTGTTTGCTAGTTTTGTTCTCGCATTGCGTTTACCCGCTGCGGATGATGCAAGACCTGCTGGAAATGCAAGGTTTTGGGGACGGGAAAGTCCCGAGCTTCAAGCTATTGAGTTAATCTTAGGAAATAATTACTTGACAAAAATTGCTAGTTGGGTACGTTGGGGTGAGAGTTGGAGAAGTTCAAGAGAGTCTAGAACGCCCGCCGACGAACGGCGAATATCCTTGGCGAGCGATTGATCTGAGCTTCGGAGTCATCTAGTGAAGGGTCTTTTCGGGATATCGAGTGCCGGTGAGATCAAATATCATTTTGAGAGTATCGTGAGTTTACGGCGTGCGCTCTATAGAGACGAGTTGCCGGGTTGTTAATGCGTTGCTGTAAGTTTCCTAAACTTGCTCACTTGCACATCACGCATAGTAATACTGCGTAGGCAATTGAAACGGAAAGTCATTCCCTGCTCGGCATGTTTCCCCGGAAGCAGCAATGCCACGTCGCTTGAAAGGGCAGCTCGCGTCCACCCCGTGGTTTGAATGGCGCGATAATAGTCTCGAAATGGATGATTCAACTTCCAAGGTCATCTCACGATAGTGCGGTGTGCGAAGGAGCTCTTAAGCGCCCCCTGGCGGACGGTGGGCGGTGGGCGGTTTCCCGTGCGCTGTGTGATGTGTAGCCGGTGTAGGGTGCAGGAGAAGGGGGATAATGTGTAACCGGCGCACCGGGCCGGGTGTGTCGTGGCCAGCCCGCCCACGCGTCTTCGGATGGCAATCCGGTAGGTAAGGGCAGGAGGCGGGCTCAATAATGGCCTGGGAAATATCTTATGAGTCAAGCCAGGCCGAAAGTCATGCGAGAGCCGTGTCAGAGACTCAGAGGAACGGTTGCGAACAACGGAGCCGGCCCGTGTTGGGAAGGCTCACTGAGCCCCTCGCAAGGTGCGAAGGTGCGAAAGGAGCCGTGGTAGAGGAAGGGGGAGAGCCTGAGAGACCGCGCTCCAGGGCTTTTGCTCGGGATCGGTGACACCCGAATCCAAAGGAGGAGGGGAGTGGAGGGGCGTGTTGGGGAGCGCCCCCGGGGTGGCAGAGGCAAGTTGCGGACGACGGAAGAAGTGGTTTTTCTTACGTGATTGATGGGGACCTGCCGGAGGCGCTCCCGGAAGGCGGGATGACTTGCCCGCAGGCCTGGCTGGTCGCCTGTACGTCTGCGCCTATGAGGCAAAGGTCTCGGAGAGTCCAAAGGCGAAGAGCAGAAAGGCAGGTCCAAGGTGTGCTCGGCGTGCTTCTATCCAGCCGGCGGCACAAACTTGAACATCGGCGCGTCCGGTGGAGCTCCGAGCCTGCTCAGAACGTTTCGTTAGGGTTCTCATGAGCAGTTGGCAGAGTTTCTGTCTATGGACTCATGGAGTACATACTTCCGTGTAAGACGGAAGGGCGGAGGCTCCGTACAGTTTCTTTGCCTATGCATGCTACAGACTTAGGCTGTCATGCACGCTTCATTACTCTTGGAAGTCGAAACTATCAGGGGAAAAGAATTTTGCTGAAGAATTTTCTCTCTCATTCATTGTTGAAGTTTGTCATGAACCGATGCCGACATAGAACCCGCTTGCCCCATCGCTAGCTCCATCACTTTCTGTGAGTTTTTTCTCCAACAGCGCCAGACCCCATCCCCCGATGGATCGCCACTGGGGGGTCTCTGAATTTTGGGTTTTTGTTGGTGTCCTTTTGTGCGCCTGCTTGGTCCGAGTGTGTGGGACGCCGAAAGAACGAAGAAATTGCCTGCAAACACTCCAAAAAGCAGATACAACATTGATCCCAGTAAAGAATCGTTACGTCAGATCCCCACCAGCGGGCTAACGACGTACGAGATCGCGAAAAATGGGGTTTGCTCTGATGTGTGGCACTGCGGGCATGGTGAGTCAGAGAGCGCGATTACCTGGAGCCTGCTCCGCGCGGGGTTTATAAACATGCTTCCGTCGAACCGTCACCAATGCAATTGGCCGGCTGGCGCAATGGTAGCGCATCAGACTTCTATCTTCTCTTGCTTTAAGAGATGTGGTTATCTGGGGGTTGTGGGTTCGAGCCCCACGTTGGTCATCTTTTTGCAATTTTTGCTCATATCTCTCTTCTTTGGCACGGGAGAGGTCGATTTCTTCTTATTTTGCAATTTTTCATTAATTGCTACTTGTTCCGGGGTAGATAAAGTGCTTCTAGTCGAGGACTGTCATGATTCTTTGCCCCTGCTTGATCAACCCCAACTTGACCGACCCACGAGTTGGGAACAAAACCCGCTCGGGTCTTGTGATTGCATCAACCCAAAACTAAAGGGGCAATCGATTCCAGTTTGGAACATCTAGAATTATTTCAAAGACTTTCACGCGAACCGCTTGGACATGCCCTCAAGGTCTCGACTACGCGACACAACTTACAAGCGGTGTAAGCCAGACCGACGTTGTCAGCAACACCCAAGAGCCAAGGCCCCTCTATTTGTAAACCAAAACACCACTTATCTTGGCCACGGTAAAACTCATCTTAATATTTGCACTAAATGCTCACCACATAATCTCACGTCCGTCATGCCGCACGTCTAATATTTCACTGTGCTAGTACCGAAGTGGTTTTCAGCTCAAATCATCTGCAAGTCAGACGCTCATTTGATTGGTGGTTGTAGCTTCTCACGACAATATTGCTTACTGTACGTTAGCGCCGCAGCTCGACATACGTTTCCAGGAGGAGTTTGGATCTAACTCAGAACGCGAGACTGTTACGATCATGCATTCATGATTAAATGTGGCGGAGTTAACTGCAAGTGTGGTGCAGCTGATGATAACGAAATTAGATGCTGCTTGCGTCGATAAGTCCGAAAAATAGGATAAAATGAAGGAAGAGAATGTCGAGTTGCTCCGAGATGTCTAGGGACTAAAACTTACAGCCAAACTTGAGGAACCGGAATTGCAGGAAGAAGCCCTCTCAAAATGCTGACAAGCACGTGGGACGAAACCCAAGTGATATGGTTTCCATTGGCCTGTTGCCTGGTCATATTTCTTGTTCGTAGTGTTCTCTGGCCAAAAGTCCTAGACTCGCAGGAGCCTCCTGCTCTTCAACCAAAGATACCTTTCATTGGTCATTTAATTGATCTAATCCAGATGGGCTACAAGCAACATGTCAAGAATCAGTAAGTCTTGAGCCATCTTGCTTGAACGTTGAAGGGATGATTGAGTCGGACGGGCAATCGTGGTGCAACTTCATTGTAAGCTGATATGATACTAGCGAGAAGTTCAACATGACGGCATACTCGTTGCCCATCCTTGGAAGCAAGCTTTATGTAGCATCTTCACCGCAACTGGCATCGTCAATATTCCAAAAGCGGACTCTTAGTTTCGAACCCCTGATTGACACATTTGTTCGCACTTTGGTAGGCATGGAGGGCCACGGGATGGATTTGTGGACGAACCCGGAGTTTCGTGCCGCCATCTTCAGGGTTCTCTATAAAGGACTGGCCGGACCTTCGTTAAGTGATCTTACCAGATCAGGGGTCAATAATTTAGCCACATCTCTTGACGAAATAGCTTTCGACCAGCTCGAGCCGAGAGACTTCTACTGCTGGACTCGTGAGACAGTGTCGAGGGCCATCATGAGAAGCTTCTACGGGAAGTTGAGCCCTTGGGAGAACAGCGGAGTCATGCAGAGTTTCTGGTAACTACATCGCATCCTCATATCCGTCCCGGCCTCGCCACGCTACAGGCGCGTTTACCCTGACTGAAGCCAGGCTAATTCTCAATACCTAGGATCTATCACGATGACATGCACAAACTCTTCCCAGGAATTGCCCCCTCTGTCATCGCGTCCAAAGCATTCAAAGCAAGAACGAAGGTCATTGAAGCCTTGGAGGCGTACATCAAACGTGAGGAGGATTTTGGCGCCGAAGTTCCTCAGTTCACCAAGGACAGATTTGGCGCAGAACGAAATTTTGAAATGTCGATCAACAACAGCGCCAAGATTGAGATTCTCCTGGCCACCGCTCTCGCCAACATCTCCACGCTAGTCTTCTGGCTTCTATCAAATATTTACAGCCAGCCAGACCTTTTGGCCAGTATTCGGACTGAGCTTCTCAATGCCGCGGTTACCAGGAAGCGAAGTGATCAAGACCATGTCGAGATGACACTTTATCTGGGGAAAATCAAAGAGCACTGCCCACTGCTACTGTCTTCGTCGCAAGAGACGGAGCGACACAATATTGTCGATAACATCACGCGAACGGTAATGACAGACACGACGATATCGGACGGCAGCCGCTCATACCTCCTCAAGAAAGGGAACAACGTCCAAATGCCGCTTAGCATTCTACATGGCGATGCAAAAGTATGGGGTGCTAACCCTGAAAGTTGGCAAGGTGACAGGTTTCTAGAACTGGGTTATAATGCGTCCTCGCCGCCGGGTTTCCTTCCGTTTGGAGGGGGCAAACATGTCTGGTACGTGGATTGGTATTCTCTTGTGGATGATTTATACTGATCGTGCATGCACGTGAAAGCCCCGGCCGTCACCTTGCAAACGGACTTCTTCTTGGCATTGCTGCGCAAATGATACTCGGTATTGACTTGGAAGGTACTGATGGCGGGCCCATTCGAGTACCAAAAGCCCAAGTCCCTTGGGCAACGACTGGCATAGGGAGGCCGAAGCCCGGACCAGACTTGAGAGTCAGAATCAGTAGGCGGAAGGATTGGAGCCACGTGAAATGGTCTGTTGCATGTTGAGATACAAGACCCGATCAAGCCTATGATTCGAAACATCCTCTTTTGAAGCCAGCTAGACTCGGTCGGCGAGGGAGATTGACTTTATATCCGTTAAGTTCCGGTAACATCGAGGATCTGCAGATAGTAAAATGGATTTCTTTCGTGCTTTGCCAGCCTTCATAGTCATAAGATTTCTTCAACAGCCCTTTGTGACATGGAACACCAATGTATTTGAATTGCATCAGGCGCGACTTCGTGTATCCAAACCTTGCGGAGCCATTAGGGTAGTCGAAATGGCTGCGACTCCGCTGTGGATACGCACAACAGCAACTGAGTATGACCTGGATACCTGCAAAATTTGACATCAACATCCGATATGGTGTAGTGGCCAACATGATGCCCTCTCATCTTGTGGGAGGTTAGGCATAGCCCCGAGTTCGATTCTCGGTTTCGGAAATCTGCGATGTTAACTTTTGGAGGACTTGCCTTTTGTTTTTCGCAGTAACAACCAGTGTATGTCTCCCTATCCATCGATGCTGTTTCTAGGTAAGTCACACTTTACCTCCCCGACTGGATTAAGCAAATGCCCTGGTCATAGATGTAAGTCGTAGGTGAAATTATCTGCCGAAAACAAATCCTACGATCATGTATGTATTTAATCACACTTACAAGTTATGCTATGGTTGCGAAATAGTGAATTAACGTCATGTATCATTCACGTTGGAGTAAGCATTGTTTGGTAAATAAATTAAAATGCCGCTGGTGGTGTACTGGGCGGTCGTGCACTTGATCTAAACCCCGTGAAGCTGACTATCACGCCGAGCGGTGCATACCCCGCGGGATTGACGCATGCATTTCGGGACGGCAGCAATTTCGGATCGCGGAATGTCGGCGATTGGAAATCAGGAGGCCCCACAATTGATGCCGAGCCCGGGAGTGGGTCTCGGACACTGCGAGAAACAGCTTAGAAATCCTGAATGACTAATGGCCACTGCCGCGGGTTCATGGTGATGCAATCATTCAGTCGTCTCATTCGCGCCCTGTTGGGCCCTACAAGTTCTCCTTTTAAACTCCCGTCTCCTGACCCCCGCACGGCATTGTGTGATTCAACATCAGCCCTGCGTTTGACGTACATAAAAGGTACTACTATGAGCACAATTCTACGACGAACTTCACTACTCACATCATTTTTCAAAACCAGTCTCAGAACCAACATTACTCCCCGCATCACACACAGCAGACCCCTCGCAACAATGACTACCGGCAATTTCCGCTATCTCGACCCTGCGACTCTGGAGGGCAGCAAGCCCTGGGCAAAAGTCGACACAGACGTAACCTCTTTCAGCCGGCTCGAGCGCCGCCGCTCAGTGGTGAACATCCGCGAGTCGACGGAAGAGTTCGGCACTGACGTCTCCGGCTTTGCCGTGTATAACTCCCCTGCCAAGGAGAAGGACTTCACCGACGATGAGGCAGTGCGAAGCGGCTACTATGCCGAAGTGGAGGCACTCCTGAAAGAGAAGTTGCCCGGTGTGAAGAAAGTTGCGATTTTCGACCACACGATCCGGAGGAGGGAGAAGAGCAGCCCCAGACAGCCGGTGCAGCAGGTGCATGTCGACCAAACGCCCGGCGCGGCGGAAGCGCGTGTCAGGAGGCATGTTCCGGGAGCTGAGGCGGATGAGCTGGTCAATGGACGGTACCAGATTATTAACGTCTGGAGACCGATTGGACACCCGGCGAGTGACTTCCCGCTTGCGGTGATTGACTGGCGGACGACGGAGCCCAAGGATCTGATCGCTGTGGATTTGTTGTACCCCAGGAGGACGGATACCGATGACGATGACCGGGGGAAGGAGGTGCTTCCGGACCCGGCTTTGGCGCGGTCGACGGAGAATTACGACGTCAAGGGTGAGTGCACGCGGCTTGACCGAGGCAGACAGAGTTCCAAACACGTTCATTTTGCTGATATCAATGCAGGCGAGACTTTTTCTGTTGCACCAAGCGACAAGCACAAGCTGTATTACGCCAAAGATATGACCCCTGATGAAGCCATGTTCATCAAGTGCTTCGACTCGAGAAGCCAAGGGC